ACCATACTTATGATCAGATCAATAAGAGCTGATATAATGCATTGTTGTACATTAATCTGCATCATTAGAGTACCATACAGAATAACATAAAGGCTTCCCAGTATATTTCTATCATTGTAAACACTCACGTTATTGCTATAATGTCATTGTTAAATCATTTTAATGTGTAAAAGAGCTATTTGAAAAAAGTCACTTCCCATAGAACAATATACCTAGAGAAGACTTAGACACCCCCCTAACGGCTTCCTTGAGCCTAATTAAGACTAATGTAGTGGAAAAAGCTGTCTCTTGAGTGCAAGAGAGATAAAATTGCACATAGTTTTTCTGTCCCTGGAATGCGAAATACCAGGTTTATTTTTAAATAAAGCTATTCTGTTTGTGTATTGTACAGTGCATTTTTGTAAGCTCTTATTTATAGTGCAGGTGAGGAAAGGAGATGCAGACTTGGCAATTTTACATATGTTCAAGGGAGGAAACCTGGGTCCATAGTAATTGTTCCTGATATAGGGATGTGTTCTCAGTCCCAAATCAATCTTGTCACTCCTCAGAAAGCAATGAAAGATAATAAGTACTATTCACCTGATTGCCTTCTTGCTCCGAGACAGCTGGTGACGCTTGTCTTCCTGATAGCCAAGAGTCTTAGATCTAAGGCAGGGATAAAGAGGAGCTAGGAGCTGGCTGAATCTAAATGTGACAGTCGATGGCTGTGTAAAGGGTCAGGAGGGACAGAATCTGTGACACGTAGGAGAAAGGAACAGAATTTATCTATGATTAGATGTCGCCTTGTCTGACTTTTTTTCTTTTCTTTTTTTTTCCAGCGGATGATTGATCATACCTACCAGCTGACTAATATCATAATTAATAAAGTTGCTTCCACCTCAGTGAAGTTTAATCGAAAGATTTGCTGGCAGTATGATGACATTGTCACAAAAATCTCTGCCATGGCTGTATCAACATCTGCTCTTGTGGAGCTACAAAACTATATTGACAGACTGAGAAGCGTGGAGCTACCGGAGATTCAGGTAACTTCTGTTTATTTTTGGTGACATCTTTGTGTTTTCCCTTAATGCAAGTAGTATTTTGAGTCATTTTTCACAGCACAATATTTTTTTATCCAGCTATTTTATTCAGATTTTTTTTACTTATTTAGATTTTTTATGTCTTTGCCTCCCCAAAATATGAGGTACTATTTTCTGCCATCGTTACAGATGTTGACTTTACCTACAACAGTATTATTCTTGTACCTTATGATTGATAGATTATTGTAAAAACCAAACTGGCTCTTTTCAATTTACCATAACGCATTTTATCAGTTAATTTTTTAATGCACCTTTTTTTGTCGCATTACTTATGTTCTTCTGTGCTCAGCCAAGCAGCGACTCTGCAGACGATGTTGTGAAAATGCCACAATGACATATGGTTAATGAGCGTCACTGGTGACAGTGACTGAGAGAAAGCTTGTAGCATATATTAATAGTAATACAACTTGCAGGAAGTTGAAGGGTAAAATCCCACTTTATTTATATATTGTCACATTTCTAGCAGTTGATAAGTCAATTTGGATTATAAATAGGATTCTGTATGGAGGTGATACCACGCTTTCTAAGGTTATCAAGCTCATTATGGTGAGGTTTAAGGTGTCCATTTATCTTGCACTGCTTCTAATTTATCTTCCTTTACGGTGGCAGCATTTAGGCTTGTTTGGAAAACAGCTGGCCTGTTTACTTCCATATCCCTCTTTATTTTGAGATATGATTGTGCTATCACAATATTTCTCCCATTTAAAAGATAGCGCTTTGAAAGTATAGCCCAGAGAAGTCTTTATTACTAGGCTGGTGCAGAAATGGGAGATGTTAATGCATATGGTCACAGTTGATTGTGCTTTTTCTAATGGGGCCATAAGTGGGGCTTTTACAATGTGTTAAGCATTAAAGCAATACTGATAAACCTTCAACAAGACCATTCACTTCTATCCTTCTGTGCTGGTGTATTTAATGCAAATGCAGGTCCATTTCTTTTAATTCTCAGGAAAAACTGGCATTGGCGGCAGAAAATCTGCTTTTCCTAATGGACTATGCATCCTTATCAAAAGAGGACATAATTCTTAACGGAAACACATTTTCCTGGCCTCAGAGAATCATGCCTATCATTAGCAGCAGGTAATGAATACCAGACAAGCCGATTTTTTCTCATACCGTGTGTCACCGGGAATGTAATGAGAGGCTGCATACAACGAATAGGAATAAGAGGCGGATTGATGATGTCACCACAGCTTAAACAGAAGATCAGTCTGCTAGGAAATGTCACTGTTGTTTTAACCTAAATCCAGTAATGTTTAATATAATTGAGGTTTAGCCTATTGTTATACATTCGCTGGGTGATGAATAGAAGAGAAGGATTAGAGATAAGTTAAGCCAGTATCACAGCTGATGTACAATTTTTTTTAACAGGATTTTCCTCCTAGAATTGTTGAAATGACCTTTCTAATAATTTCAGTGGAATTAATATTTTTTTTGAAGTGTTAATGACAGCTAGAGATGTGGCATTAGCAATGCATAGTGAATGCAGAGCCCACACTCTTTTTTTCTGCATTAGAAATGGGTAATAATACCAGTCCTGCAGGTGATGAAAGCTTGAGCAGTTTTAGTGAAGATTACATTTGATTGACCTTTATTAGGGTGATTAACCTCTCTGAAATTAAAAGCCAGCTCTAAATTATTCTGTCCAATTTAAATGTGAACGCAAGGAAAAAAAGTAGCATGCCAGTGGATTATATAAAAAGAAGATTCCATTTCTTCTCCCCCTTCTCTCTCATGTGCCTTGCAATCACTTTGTCAGTGAGACACGACTGCAGAGGGAGCATGATGTGGCTCTGGCAAGGCTCGCACAGTGGCAGAAGGATTTCACAAAGCGCTTGGCTAATGTACTCATTGAGGTGAAAGGCTTCCAGAAGAAAGACCGGATGACTGAAGCCACTTCTAATGTACAGAAGCTCAGCTCCATCAGCAGGAGAATACAGGACTTTATGGAAGAGGTATGCTGTCTTTAAGAATGTTGCTGCACTGGATTGCTTAGACAGAGTGACAATGCAGTGCATTGTATACTAGTGTAATTCCTTTGCTGCCTGCTCTATCGTATTGCCATTGTCTGGTTTTTCGTGTTTTATCATTTTATGTTTGTCTGTGTAACACTTATCTTTGAAGGTAGTAGTAAATGGATATTATGTAGGTTTAAATGCCCAAATCATTTTTAAAGTGTCTTGGTATAGCATGCAAACAGGTAACATAGATATGATTTTATAATTTTATTTATAAGTTTTGTTGCATGCTATTTTGTGATGATGATATGCTTTATAAACTAAGAATCTGCTGTCAGATTTTTTGTAGTGTTGTGGTCACTGCAATAAAGACTCTGCACCAAGGCTGTTCAAGTATCATATGGTGCATAGTAATTATATTTACATCAGTTGTCATGCTATTGTCAGCTGTGACTTTAGTCATTGTAATTAGACATATCTGACCATGTTTGGTTAGGTAAATCCCTGGGGCATCTGTACATTGCAAGAGCTGCTGAAGGGTAACCTACACTCATTCTGTCTGGAATTGCAACCTGACATACAGTCCCAGTGCCAATATTATGTTTTATTAAATGCAAACTTGAGAGTGTGCTGTCTAGACTTTCTTACCAATTCTAGTTTTCTAGAACATTGTAGATTTTGTTTGAGTATTGTAGGAACAACTACTGGGACTCTGTCCCCAGCTGTGATTCTATAAATGTTTTCTGTCTCTTTATTCTTTATAAATTGATATAGATAAGTGCCTTAAATATTTCTCTATGTGTTATGGTTTAGGTTCCTCAATGAATAATAGCAGTATGTAGTAATGCATCTTGTTTTGATGAGTTGTGTATTTCAACTGTTGGTATCTGTCAGGGGGCCTGAATTTGTAAACAACCAATCACCACATTATGTGTTATATGGTGGTTAATAACCTTGTACCCCTCTTAGGGGTATAGTCTATTGAGTTTCAAAGTCTGTGCAAAGTCAGCCTTAATATTTCTATTAAATCACAGTTGGCACATTATTTTACATGTATTAGCTTTTGCTCATGTCTTAAATCATTGCTCAGCACATTTTTGTGAATAGAGTGGAGGAGAACAGCAGGAATAAGAATACAAAGTACTGTAGCCCGTAGAAACTATTAAAACTATTATAATTGGCTCAACTGTTGGATTTAATAGGGTTTCTGTACTTTGGGCATTGTTGCTGATCATTGGCCTGCTATACCGAACACCCCATGTGTCAAAGGAACATGCAGGTCCACCTATTCATATGATCACATATACATCATTCTCACTAAGCATTATCTCTGCATTCAAGGAGAAGATTTGCTCTCTTGTATTTTCATTATATAATTTTCTTCATATGCAAATTTGTGCTTAGTTTCCTTGAAAAAGTAGCTGTATATATGTTTGCTTACTATTTACTGGTAATATGTATGTGGGCTCAATGTTCATGCATATATTTAGCCAATTAGTTTCATAAGATAAGTGTGTTTATGTGATACTGGAAAGTGGAAGATAGATGAAATGTGATAAAGGAAAAAATGGAAGAAAGGAAAGTGTTTGTGTCATTTTGTAGTGACCAGTCAAATATAAGCTTTCATTTTTGTTAATGCAAGCTGCACTCTTCTTGAAATATGCTACAGCCATATTATAAAGTAATGCTTTCTATATTATAGAGCAGATTGAAGTAAAATAATTGTATTTTTATTCATGCCGAAATGCTATCGCAAACCAAGAAACAGCAGTTTTGCCACTTTTTTTGTTTTTGATACTCCAGCAGTAAGTTGCTTAGGGATGGATTTCCTAACTGCACTATATTATTAAAAATGGCCGTACCCACACTGAATTTGGTATTACACCATCATATGCAACCATAATATGTCACGATATTATGGTTGGCATGTATGTGCTTTTCAGTTCCTTAAAGTGTCATTTTACTCAAAATGGTATTTTACTTATAGGGGAATGTGGTGGGCAAGTCAGCCACCATCATCTTATATGTGTTCTAAAACTGTAAGACATCCCTGCCATAATTTCTGTCTAGTTTTGGGTGTTCCCTCCTGCCACCATTTGTGCATTCCAGCATCTTGTGTTCTCAGTGTTATAAATGAAATTAAAAACTCAACATGGAAATTGGGACTCATTATGGGTAAAGAAAGTGCAAACTCAGGAAGTCTAGCTTAGAGATCCCCCCTTCCCCCAAGAGATGTAAGTGTTTTTTTTAGATGGTTTATCTTTTCATCATCTTCCAAATGAGCAGCGGAATGTCCAAGCACTAGACTCTTGGAGACAGACATCCTTAAACAAAAACTTGTTTTACTAATGGCTAATATGTGCCAACTTAAAATTGTAGTCCATAAACTAGCATTTTTTTGACCACTCTTCTGTAGCAATTCACTCATTGTAGTTTCCACAATTCTTACATTAGCTATTTTTAAAAGTGCTGCTAATTATGGATCCATTCGTAAAAAAGGTACACAACTTTAGTACGTTTTTATGGTTTATGACTGCTTTGTTCTAGAAAGTATATAATGTAGAGTGCTGTGATACTTCACCGTATAAATCTGAAGGTGACAATTCAGTGAAAGTAGTTTTTAAATGGGTGAGGGATTTGCAATATAAATGAAGTTATTCACTTATTAAGGCTTGTGTTTTTGTTTCAGAAATCTCTAATTAATAAAGAGGAGATGCTTTTAGGAGTTGAGCAAATAAGCATGTTCAATCAGATATCTGAAATATGTAGATTTAAGGAGCCCTATCAAGAATTATGGACGACCGCTGCACATTTTGGCACATGTTATGAGAAATGGATGAATGGTCCTCTTCTACAGGTCAATGCAGAAAAGGTGGAGGAGGAGGTACGTTATAACCTTGCCCTGGCACCTGCCATGTATTGTGCCTATTTTGGCAATTGGGGTCACTTTTGTTATGAGAGGTTCTCATGCACACAATGGTACAGGTAATCTTGTAATATAGCAGAAAGGAGCACCTTTTGGTAGAGTGATCTGAAAAGGAGCTGTCCATTCCATAAAGAAAGACTAATGTGCTGTTTTGCTGTAAAATCAATTTAAATTTTATTGGTCTAATATGACAAGAATTACCCTGAGCCTGGCAATATGATAGATGAGTCCTACACAACTGTAAAAAAAATCAATAACTGTTTTCTGAAAAATGTTTGTCATCAGGTGCAGAATTTATGGAAGACTAGTTACAAACTGACAAAAGCATTTTATCACCCGGACTTACACGGACCTCTTAAAGTCGCTACCACCATTAAGACCAAGCTTGAGAAGTTTAAGATCAACATGCCTCTTGTAACAGCTTTGTGTACACCAGGGATCAAGCCAAGACACTGGAACCTAATGAACGAAAAGGTGATAGAACAATTTGTCAGTCTATTACTGTGACAAGTATGCATTGTGCTGCTTGTCTCTATTTTAAGTAGCAGAATATCGCTTTAGCCATTTTTATTTGTCATCTGTTTTCATCATGCTTCTGGCTCTCCTGTGGCATTGAGTTATCGGGGTTCTAAAATTGTTTAACAAATTGGCATGTTAGGAAAATTAAAACTGTCCCCTCACTGGGCTGAATTGGTTAACCATTTAGATTCTAAGGTTTTCCTATATAAAGAAGATAATTGCCCCATGCTTTACCATGTTTCCTATTTTTCTATAAATACCATGTTGCCTATTTTCCTAGGCAACATGGTATTTATAGAAATACCAGAGTCTAAAAAAAGAGCCTTGTACACGCTTGCAGATATGTGTTTGTACAGTATATATATATATATATATATATAATGTTTTTTTTTAGGGATGTTCAGATACCAAGTACTGTACTCGGTACAA